CATCTGAAAAGGTACAGCCGTGTGACGTGAACCACACCCAAAACCTCAAATCGGCCCTTAACATTGAATTCGTGAAAACATAACAGAACCACACAACCTAACATTTTTCATATAATGAAAAAGTTGAAGTTAAACATTTATTTTTGACAGATAAAAGATAGTTTTTTTAATTGTTTCCCATAAAAAAGGCAAAAAAAGGTAAAAAATCTAGTGATTCTCAAAATATGCAAGAAAATTATATACAACAAAGTCCATGTTATAAAATTATAAGTTGTTCTCAAAAGATTGTCAAATAACATTGCTCAAAAAAAGAAATGTTCAAGGACTGCTAGGTGAACTCGAAATATGTTAAAAAAAACAGTTTCAATGAATACTCATTTATAGAGCTATAAGTCATTTTCGATAGTTTGGTAAAAACCAAGTTTTGCGAAAACTGGTTTATATAACTATAAATTAATATAAGTCCATTTTTTATTTATCTGTAAAAACCTTGTAAAAAATATATGTTATGTAAAAGAAAAATTCAAACAACTTTTGTTTGGGAGACATCTTCAAATTCTCAAGTAACCACGATTTAACATTTAAAAAAGGAAACATATTTTAATAAAAAACACTGGAAAAAAATATATTTGTCCATGTATGAGAAAACATATCCAAACGAACGCATTCGTGAACAGGAGAACATGCGTGCGTGTTTGAGAAAGTCCCGAATAGGTTCGTTATGCTACATACCTTATAGAACTATAAATATGATTTTTTAAGATAAACAAAAAACTAGGATATTTCATTTCCTTAACAAACGGTGCTTTGCAAGGTAGTGATTTTTCTTTTAAAAACTTGCTTCTCTCCTGGTTCTGAAAAAATATATTTCTATTTTTTTTTTCTGGTTAATATACTTCACATAGAATTTTGTTTATGTAGGAGGCCTGAAAAATGTACTATAAAAATCTTTAAAATTTTTTGTGCAAACCTAACAATTGTTTTTGTTAGGTTTTTACGAATCCTCTGTTCCTTCCCAAATTTTTGGATTTGGGGTCGCCCTGTGAGTATGCCCGCAGGGCATAGCGCATACTCACACGGGGACCTATAATCCCAAAATCCCCCCCAAAAGGGGAAAAGGCCGGTTACACGGATCTACCAAAGTCAGAAATGTACTATTCAAGTGCTCATTTGTCAGCAACCCGAGGGCATACTCAGGGCATACGCACAGGACGACCCCAAATCCACAAATTTGGCAAGGGCCGATTTGAGGTTTTTGGCATGGTTCACGTCACACTACTGTGCCTTTTCAGATGGGACAAGGTCGCGGCCGTCTGGAGAAATGGGGATTTGGTACTTGGATGGTCACACGACGCTATCCACTAATTGTGCAAGAATTTTAATGAACAAATATTTCCCTCACACGGGGACCTATAATCCCAAAAATCCTCCCTCAAAGGGAAAATGGCCGGTCACAAGGATCTACTAAATTCGCAAATGTACTATTCCAGTGCCCATTTGTCAGCGGCATGGGAAGCCGCGGGGCAAGGGATTTTGCGATCACCTCTGGAGGTGAACGCAAATGCCCTTGCCCTTTTTTTTTTTTTGCATTTTTCTTCGAAAATTGGCAAAATTTCGTTCACAAAAGTTCTTGCACAATTAGTGGATGACGCCGTGTGACCAGCCAAGTACCAAATCCTCATTTCTCCAGACGGCCGCGACCTTGTCCCATCTGAGGGCATACTCACACGGCGACCCCAAATCCGCAAAATATGCGGATTTATGCGGATTTGGGAAGGGCTGATTTGAGGTTTTGGGCATGGTTCACGTCACACTTCTGTACCTTTTCAGATGGGACAAGGTCGCAGTTGTCTGGAGAAATGGAGATTTGGTACTTGCCTGGTCACACGGCGCCATTAACCAATTGTGCAAAAACTTTTGTGAACGAATTTTTACCAATTTTTGAAAAAAATGCAAAAAAAAAAGAGAATTTGTGGTCACCTCCAAAGGTGACCGCAAAATCCCTTGCCCAGCGGCTTCCCAGGCCGCTGACAAATGGGCACTGGAATAGTACATTTGCGAATTTGGTAGATCCCTATGACCGGCCTTTCCCCCTTTTTTTTGGGATTTTGGGATTATAGGTCCCCATGTGAGTATGCCCTGAAATGGTACAGCAGTGTGACGTGAACCATACCCAAAACCTCATCTGCTTCGCCGTGTGAGTATGCCCTCACACGGGGACATATAATCCCAAAATCCCAAAAAAAAGGGGAAAAGGCCGGTCACACGGATCTACCAAATTCGCCTTTGCATTTTCTTCAAAAATTGACAAAAAATCGTTCACAGAATTTCTTGCACAATTGGCGGATGGCGCCGTGTGACCAGCCAAGTACCAAATCCCCATTTCTCCAGACGGCCGCAGCCTTGTCCCATCTGAAAAGGTACAGCAGTCTGAGGTGAACCATGCCCTCTCCTGTAGCGCACAAAGATAGGTCCGTGGTGCAGGCAAGGCTCAAACAAAAAAAGAAAAAGAGAACCGGAACGGTAGTTCCCAAACTCCGTCGCTGTAGCCTGTAGCAACTCGAGTCGAGTCGAGAGTCTCTCGCTCACTCGAAAGCATCGGGTTCGGGGCCGTGGTCCTCCCCCCCCCCACTTGCCCGGATTCTGCTAACCGTTGGATCATTTCCTAATCTGCGGTCGGAAATGGGGAAATTACTAACGATCTTTTGGGAAACACCGTCCTCTACGACAGCCATGGCGGGAATCGAGCTTGACGATGGTGGACATCAAGCTCGCCGACAGCCATCGCGGAAATCAAGCTCGCCGACAGCCATCGCGGAAATCAAGCTCTCATAACCTGAGATCGAGAGAGGGTGCGAGCTAGCAAGCATCGTACACACACACACACACACACACACAGAGAGAGAGAGAGAGAGAGAGAGAGAGAGAGAGAGAGAGAGAGAGAGAGAGAGAGAGAGAGAG